CCTTTTCTTGAATCTCTGGACGAGCAGCCAAGTCATATCCAACGTAACTCAAGGTAAGACTGGACGTCTCGGTTCCATTAAGGTAGAGGGAAAATGCATGAGCCGTTATAACCTCTTCGTCGACTTTCTCCCCTGTTTTTCCCATGTCGATCATTAACTGAAGGAAGTCATTCCTGTATATCGGCTCCCTTCGTCTGATTTCTAAATTTTCTGCAACAACTTTTCTAAAAAACTGGTCTATTTCTTTTGGAACTAATTTGAGCTTCAAGGGACGACCAATAGCGGGAAAGTATTGCCAGACTAAAGTTGTTAGCGATACCCCTAACGTGTTCCCAGTAAGCTGATCGAAGGCACTGGGAGTTGTTTCATCTTCGAAACAGTGACCTTCGATGCCTAAACCAGCGTTCGCTACAACTTCACCAGTGAATCTTAAGAATAACAGTTTCAATTCGACTTCGTACTTGTTCTTCGTTTCTAGTTGTCTGTTCAAGAAATCTTCGAATTTCTTACAGACCCCGTTGACGGCTACCAAAAGAACCTTCAATCTGACGTTAGTAAACGCGTAGGTTAGACGTTTTCTTCCGTTCAGCCATGCGTTTCCAGTGGAGAAAAACGGATCTTTAGCCGAAAGGGGATCCATATTTGGATCGACTTTGAATGCATTTTCGTGGAAGCTCGAGAAATTACTTTGCAGCACGGTTTTTACTAAATTAGGCTCTCGAAGAATTAGCGATGGCATTGTTCCGTTGTATATTCCGACCATGCTGTAATCTTTGTGCTCGTTATATACTTTTCGAATAAATTCGACAAAATGTATTCTTTTCATTGCTACGGGTAACAAATGGCCCAGGATTGGAACATATCCTTTGGCAGTTGGAATTCCATTTCTCTTCCAATGGTTGTATCTCAAATAGAAATAAAAGCACAATAGCAAGAACAGTCCTGTGAGGAGCGTGAAAAATGCTGAAGCCATCTTTCACCACGCACGGAAACAATGTTGTTAAAGCACTATTACGAATCAGCACATCTCTAACAGTCTCGAAAGCACAATGTAGAATGATCGACCTATTACTAAGCAATGAGACTTTCTTAAGCAAGTGGGTAGCTCTTGCACCGAAGGCGTTTCTCCCACTTTGCTTGTTACGATGCATATTATATACATGTATGCGATCAGATTTGTCGATTAATATCGGCTATCTCAAAAACGTATGTGAAAGATATATTATTGGTGTTTATCTATTACTGAATTATTTGTTTTATAGTTTATCGAGAAATGGAATAATACATTACAACGATACATGTATATGTAATTGATTTTTCGTACATATAGGCCATATGGTACTGATAACAATATCACGTAAGCGCAAGCACGTGGAACGAAATAGTATTGCAAATCTGCATTGTCTTCTCCGAATACCGTGAGGTTATTGAAAAACCTGATAGTTATATAAAGTGGAATAAAAATTACTGCTATTTAATATGAAAATGTTTCTCAATTGAATAACTTTTTTAATCTGCAGATAAATAGTTTAATGCCTTTTTGTGAAACTCGAATTGTTTTGTGGAAGACACGAAAGTAAAAAATACAACTAATTACATCGAATTATATATTTTCCAAAATCACTGATGCTTTATTTAAAAAATCTATGAATACGCCTAACAGTTTTGTAACACAACATTTCGTGAATAAAACCTCTAGTGATATGGCCTTGAAACATGCGAGCCTACAGTTGTGACTCTACATGTGATTGTAATCATACAAACATTATCTAAGTGGCTGCTTCCGCCACTGATATCCCTTGTACGCACTATGTTGTTTTTCTCTGAATTGTGCTTTATTATGTTTGACGCAGTGGCCTTTTTCGAGTAATGAACTTTATGAAAGCTCCGCTAAGTAACGCTCAGATTTGTAATTTATTCTTCTTCCACAGTGATACATCCTGAAATAGTGAGTGAGAGAGAGAAGGAGCGTCCTTCTGTCCTAGGCTAATGGCTAGGCTCTACGAATCCTGTTAAGTTTTCACGCTAACTGCACGAAACTATCGGAAAACTGTTTTGTTTCCCGAGAAACTTTAACTCTATTCCGTTTCGAGGTACAGCACGCGTAATATACGAAAGATAAGTAATGAAACAATACGTCCACAAGAATTTTCATATTTGATAGGCAACTTCCAGAAAGCAACTTTTCTATTTAATCACGAGAAACTATACGAAGTAATATGTAGCATTGATCGCGTTTATTTTCACAGAAATTTAATCTGTTAACCAGAAGAAACGAGTTAGCTAGTTACTCAAATTGTCCATTCTGTGTTTGAGTCTCCCTTTCCTCCCATTATTTATATGTCGTTTTATTTGGTCATAAATGATTTAAATGATCGCGTTAGGTCCAGAAGGGACAGGACGGTTAGGTTCCCAACAGCGGGCACACTCTAATAGATGTTTACTATCGCTTATCATTCTACACTCTGTTTCAATGCCGTTTTATTACACGGTATGCGAATCACAAGATCAGCTAGGTCGTAGTGATTAACTATGTATCATACCACTATCATAGCACGATGTATGTATGAGCACAGCATATTCTATTTAAAATGATTTAAAACTCAATTGAAATTGATGAATCTGTAATTCCGCAATTTACCAATTGACGGTGTAATAAAGTAACGAAACACTCAGAATCTTTTATTTCTTTATCTGTAAAGGTTGTCACTTTCCGGAATGTGAAATTACTATATCTTATATTTGGTAATTTGCCTGAGTCTCCTTCAGGCGACGGAAAGGATTAGAAACAATTCCGATTAAGAAACGACTCAGTCAACAGGCTAATAGATCGCACATAAGTTACAAGAAAGCTAATACGATATATATAGAAAATATAGAATGTGTATGTGGACATACGTCCGTATATATTTGATACATTTGTATATATTTGACTTACCTAGCAATATAAGACAGGGGAAACCGCACCGGAAACTCGTTCGAGTCCCTTCGTTCTGAAGCACAGGATATATATCAGCTCTCGACACACTCTCATAAATTCTATATATCGTATACTTTTTAATTTTTCACGTTCATACATCTTCCATGCTAATATCACGTTCAAAATTTGCTCTACTGTATGATTTCGATAATATCAAATTCCCGCCGCTAGTGAGATGCATATAATTGCAAATCGCAATTTATTATAAAATGTACAAAAATAACATCGTTACGATCATTTTATTTTGTAATCTGCCCATTAAAAGAAGAAATACTGTAGTGACTAATACATTACATAGAAAATTACAATATATATGTTCTTCTTTATATAACACATAAAAATGTTTTACATAAAAATAGTCAATACAGCAAAAATAATAATTTGACTTTATGTAGTACAATTTTGTATAGATATTAATACATGCATTGAAAAGTGCAACGATAACTTCAAAGCTTGGTGATATATACCCAAATACCACCATTTACTTCCGCCAGAAAATGATTCGGCAATATTTTCAATGGGACTTGCGTTCTTGGTGATAATTCCAATTTGTAGTTCCTCAGCAAACTAGCCAAACAAGCTTTCATCTGCAGCATAGCTACTCTCATTCCAACGCAGATTCTTGGACCCTCGCCGAAAGGAAGGAATGTCATTTTTTGTATAGTTTGCTTTCTCTCTTCGTTGAATCGTTCCGGATCGAAAACTTCTGGATCGGTCCAATACTTCGGATCACAATGCAGTCCCTCAGAGGGTATGATTATATTCGTCCCAGGTTTCGCACGATAGGTTAATCCATCTGAGCCTTGTAGCACAAACTCCTCTGTACAAATTTTATGCATGAAACCTGCAGCCGTGTGACATCTCTGAGATTCGCTAATCACTTGATTCATATATGTCATCTCCTTCAATGCTTCGTACGTAAAACCTCCGTGTTTTTCGATCTTAGACATCACTTCGTTTCTCAGCTTTTCTTGAATGTCTGGATGAATGGCCAAGTCATATACAATGTAATTTAAGGTAAGACTGGACGTCTCGGTTCCATCAAGGAAGAAGGAAAGTGCATGGGCCGCTACAACCTCTTCGTCGACTTTCTCCCCTATTTTTTCCATGTCGATCATTAATTGTAGGAAATCATTCCTGTATATCGGCTCCATTCGTCTAATTTCTAAGTTTTCTGTAACAACTTTTCTAAAGAATTCGTCTAATCGCTTAGGAAGTAATTTGAGCTTCAACAAACGACCAATAGCAGGAAAGTATTGCCAGATTAAATTTGATAGTGATGTGGTTAACGCGTTTCCTGTAAGCTGATTGAAGGCATTGGCAGTTGTTTCATCTTCGAAACAGTGACCTTCGATGCCTAAACCAGCGTTTGCTACAACTTCACCAGTGAATCTTAAGAATAACGATTTCAATTCGACTTCGTACTTGTTCTTCGTTTCTAGTCGTCTGTTCAAGAAATTTTCGAATTTCTTACAGACCCCGTTGACAGCTACGAAAAGAACCTTCAATCTAACGTTAGAAAACGCGTAGGTTAGTCGTTTCCTTCCGTTCAACCATAGGTCTCCGTAACAGAAAAACGGATTTTTGGATAAAAGAGGTTCTGCATCCGGATCGATTTTCAACCCATTTTCGTGGAAACTCGAGAAATTACTTTGCAGCACGGTTTTTACTAAATTAGGCTCTCGAAGAATTAGCGATGGCATCGTTCCGTTGTATATTCCGACCATGCTGTAATCTTTATACTCGTCGTATACTTTTCGGATAAATTGACCAAAGTGTATTCTTTTCATCAATACGGGTAACATGTGGCCGACGATTGGAACATACCCTTTAACAGTAGGAATTCCATTTCTTTTCCAATGGTTGTGCCTCAAGTACAAAAACAAACACAATAGTAGGAACAGCCCTGTGAGGAGTGTAAAAAATGCAGACACCATCTTCTACCGCAATGTTGTCAGAGCACTATTCCGAATTACAACTACTCGAACAGTCTCGGGAGCACAATGTGGAATGATCGGCGTATTGCAGTGGAATCCAGCTCAGGCTCTCATGGTTGAATCGTTTCCTCCCACTCTACTTGTTATCGTACGAGTGTTTACGATCAAACCTGTATACTGTTATTGTCTGTCTTAAAAATCTAAAATAATATTATATTTCATGCCTTTATCTATATCTCTGTTATGTTTATGTTATTTAATGATAACGTGCGAGGAAACACAGAAAGAAAAATATATATATATATACATGATGGTACATGTATGTAGATAACATGACAGTTATAAGCGTATCATTTCAATGTCACATAGGTGTCATTGATAGGAACGGAGCTGTAAACGTTGTATCAGAATGATGCTCGTACCGATTGTATTATCCTCTGTCAATATCGCGTGCTAATGTAAGTAATTAATAGTTACATAGTGTGTACTAAACTTACTTACTAATGTAGTATCGTGGAAAAAAGGCCTGTGGCGGCCTCGATAGCAAATACCACCACTCGATACTAATTAGTGTCAGACGATGGCAGTGCAGTAGTTAGTGCCTTAAGTTACGAACGTTCGGAACCCGGCTTCGAATCCAGCGACCGGAGTCCGATTTTTCTTCCACGATAAAAAAATGAGAAGAAAAGCAGCCGTACCCAGCAGCGACATCTACAGTCTAAGTATTACGATACTACACTAATATTTAATATTAAAATATTTCCTAAATAAATGAGCTTTAAGTAATCTATAGATAAATAGCTTAATACTTGTTTATGGAAGTTAAATATATGATTCCAATTGGAAGAAAAATAGATTTAACCTTCACAGATTAGCTATAAGCACACCAAATCACACACTAGAAGAAAAATCTAATTACCCTAAATTATATTCGCCCCGAAATCACTGAACCTATATACAAAAAATCTGTATATATATATTTACCAGTTCCGCGATAAAGTATGTTGCTAATCCCCGTGGTTGATCGAACATTGCAATCGTTCAGAGTTTGTTATATTTTTCATATGGTATGTTGACTAAGTAAGAACTAGCTATCTAGCTGGAAGAAACCACCCACTAATGTGGGAAATGATTACTGGGACGATTGCTAAGAACAAAGGATTA